TCATTAAATGTACATTTCCAGCTCTTTATGTATACCCTAAAATCCTCAAAATAAATTGTAAGACGAGTTACATTTCACACTTTTTCTGAAATTACAAAGTATCTTTGCTCCCCCACTGTTAACATCCCCCCTCTCATCCCTTTTGGGGAGCAGGTAAAACGTGCCAAATTGTGTCTTACACCTGTTCACAAAATTATCTAGCTGATCGATGCCACAACTGCCGCTATATAAAAATATACAAGTACAAAAGTAGTGCTATAAAATGTGATGGTTGATTTTTCATTGTTTGTACTAAAAAAAAGTATTTTCTTTCAAATAGTAGGACCTGTCCTCTTCAGCAAAGAGTACAATCTGGGAAAAAGTTAATGTGAATATTTACACTGGAAGGTAAGGGATCACAAAGATAGGTTTCTTTGCAAATGTCATCTCTTGGAATGCTATCAGGAGCATCCACAGGATGTGGTAAAAAAATCTCGAGATGGTGGCTGCAATGGTGCAATTTGAAGCTCTGCTTGTTTTTTATGTGCCTTCAACTGGATCATCACAGCCACCATCTTGATTTTTTTTTTAACCACATTCTGTGGACACCTCTGAATAGCAATGGAATATCCAATCCTTTAGCAACTCATGACATTATGTTCTGTAAACCACCTTTTCTGCTGGCCAGCATGATCCTTTTTGCAGATCATTGTACCATTTTTTGTGGTTAGTAGAACTGCAATATAATGCCCACACAATTAGCTTCTGTGATTCGTTTGATATAGACAGAAACTCAATGTTACCCCATTTGCATTAGTGAGCTTGTCTTGATGTAATATAATCAGATTGCTATGTACTCCCCTGTCCATCTCAAGATCTCTTCTAACATTTCCTGGAATGCTCCAGCTGCTGAATGCATACACACTGGCATTTCATACTTGATGTGCATTTTTAAAAAAAATTAAATTGAAATTCCAAAAATTCTAAACGCAAGTATTCAGTGCTCTTTGGCGAGTCCTCTGATCTAACAGCAGTATTCCTGAATGTAGCTGTTTCTACAAAAACTTGTATGGAAGGAAGACCTCAGCTAAGGCAGATGAATATGTAAGGGAATGATCCTAGAGAAAAATGGATGGCAATTGTTTCCTGCATTTCTGCACTCTCCTCAGAATAAGTGATATCCTATGGAATATTTATTCACTTACTCACTCACTTACTCACAGGTAATTGCCTACATTTGTAGATACATTTTCTTTCTATATGGAAAAAAATAAAAAAACTCCTTAAGCTACCTCCACATGAAGGCTCAGTGCTCTGGAACTAGTCCTGGATCTCTGCACTGGCCTGTGGCTTTAAGAGTGGAGTAGTTTTTGCCCATCTGCTGTTAGCTCTGCTATGGCTTATTTGAAACCAGAACAGTGGAATTATTCCATCTGCAGTTCTGACACTCTGCAGGGCAAGTAACTGGTCTGCTTACTATTGGCTAGAGCTCTTGCCCCATCTCAGTTCCTAGATTCAAAGCAATCATCCCCCTGCAGACCCTCAGCATCCTGTACATTTATAAGATATCTTCCCCTTTGCATCACGTAAGGTTGCAACTGCCAGAGCAACGCGCAACCATGATTTGGGGCCCTCAAGAAGAAATGGCTGTTTACATGCTGATATGCTATTCCCTTTCTCATCACTGCTCAGAGGCTGTTAAATGCAGCACAGGAAAGGTGGCCTGGCAGCCTTGCAACTTGCTCTCTTACCTTTCCATAATTTCTGGCAAATAAAGGTGCATGTATTGAAAATGCAGATGAGAAGGGACAGCCATGCGCTGTATCTGCTTTTGTGTGGCATGTGGGCAAGGAACTAGAAAAGAGAGTACCAGTTGTTAGAATATTAGATTGCAAGCAGAAAAAAAAAGTTGAATTTAAGGAGGGGAAACAATCTCACGAAGTCCTCCCTCATAAACTCTAAAATCTCAGTGCCAATTCTGGAAATCAGAGGCTGGTTAAATGTCTTCTGAGTGACTCAGAGAATAGAAATGAACAGTAATTTTCTTCTGAAGCCCCAGAGGGCACTCTCTGCCTCAAGATATGATAAAGCAGTGTCATGCTAGGGAAAAGTAGCATTATCTGAAGTCGTCGTCTACTGAAAACTGCCAATGCATATTCATCATGTGTGCACACTGATGCCCAAGTGAGAAACTTGCAAAACTCCTCTACTGGAAAACTGCTCAAGTCACAATCTCTCTAAGTGAATATGCAATTCACTTGTGTTTTTCCCCCACATAAGGCTGCATAGATCCCTGTGATACGTTCTTTCAGACACCCTAGATACCATTTTGAATTTGAATAAGCTTTCAGACTGCCAAAAATCTGCACACCTATTAAAGCAGCATGCCATAAAATCATTGTTTATGCCAGTTCTTCTTATGATGAGAGAGATTAGAGCAAAATGAGGATAATGACATTTCCAGTGAAAAAGGGAGTTAATCTTTGTAATAAAGGCTAGATCAGGTTGAAGCATGACCTGATCCTTAAGGAAAACACCTAACTTGATCTCTGATGAAACAGTGGTTAGTTCTGAAACACATTTGGCCAAAATTAGAGCAATCAAGAAAATTACCTTAGTTATGAGCAATCTTAAATTAGATGTAGCTGAAAGCTCAACAGTCAAACCCATGAATGTAATTTATACTCAATTTAGTTTCTAGATCAGCACTTGCAAACTCCAGGAATGTTAACTGAGGTCAATGGTGTAAAAAAAAAAAAAAGATATTTTTCTTTCCCTTGCAGGACAAAAAACAATGAAAGCAGAAGTCCGGTGGTTAACTGTATTAAAAATGAAACTTTTATCCAAACTTTTGTGGAGGAATTCTGAAGTAAAATGGAGCTCCTCAAAGGAATGTAATTTGCCCCTGTATTTACACATGTAACCTCTGAGGAAGGTTCTTCAGGTTGTACTATAGGAAGGGCGGTTTTGTAGAAGAAAGCAGACTCTTAAAGGACTTTATCTGAACATCCCTATTCTAAGCATAATTATTTCAACTTTCAGTTTGTCTGTTGGAAGATGTTGGGGAGAGGATGGATATTGGGTTCCTGAAAGAGGTTCCTTCTTGGGAGGGCTCTTCTAAAGGGGCAACCTTGCCAAGTCCATGAAATTGGGAAAGCAGCTGTACTTTAACCAGACCCAACTACTCTGCTTACTACTCAGAGAAGATAGGGAAACACTATATGAAGCACCTGCACACCTGCTCAAAACTGATGTGTTTAGAGAAGTGAATGCGGAGGGGCAATAAGGATCAAAGCTTCCCTCAAAAGCCTACAGGAGCAAATATGAAACTTTCAGAGTTTGGGAAAACAGTGTATTTCATATGATTTTGGCTAAGCAAATTGTATCCATTAAAAGGGGGAAGATGAAAGAGGGAGAGTATAGGTTAATGTCTAAAGGAGGAGGATGAGATCATCTCCATGACTCATGAAGTTACCATAACATGTTGTTTATGTATATCAAAACATCTGACTGGAAGAAACTTATGTTTGCAGAATATGATACTTTCTTCCTCTATAGGGTGTCAAAAAAATCAATATGGCAGCCGTGTGTGATTGAAACCCCACTCCCTTTTAACTCGTGTCACATGTAAAAATGGCAGAGTTTCATTCACACAATCAGCATCTTGATTATTTTTGACCCACCCTCCCCACCTCTGTGGGTGCCTCATCTCCTCTAGCAAGTTGATGTATGAGTGTTCAATTAAAGAGCTAAGGAAAATATCTCAACTTCCTTTAGTGCAGAAAAAAAGAAGCAATTCACAAGTTTAAAATTGTCCCTTCCTGTATCGTATAACTTCATCTAGAAGAAAGAAGAGTCAGTGCATGAGCGAGCAGTAACCCCATATATACAAACCCATGACATGCAAATACCATAGTCCTTCTCTTTCACATGCTATTTTTTGTAGACCTCACGTCTATGGTCTTAGGGCATGCCAAATATTTTGACCTTCAAGCCCTTCAACCACAAAAAGCTGTTTAGAGTTTTCTGAGTCTGAAACAAAACAGAAGTGTTCCCTGGAAATTGCCCAACCGACGGAGAAACTGGACAAGGGGACTTTGATCAGGATGTACAAAATGGTCAACCTTGAAACAGTCTGACCTATTCTAATTATTCTGTTTCAAGGCAGGACTAGTTTTGTTCTGAATGTGAAACACACAGATTTTTCTATTTTTCAAGCAGCTTCAATCTGAGTGTCTTGAGCCCTCTGAAAGGGCTGTTGTTCGAGGCACATGTTTTTTTCAAACTTTCCCCAGCCTAACTAGTACAGCAGCAGCAGAAACCAGTCAGGTCCTGGATGTTATCAATTTAGATGGGATGGAGGGTTGTGGGAATGAGAGTTGAGAGGAAAAAAGCAAAGAGGCACATGGCCAGACAGAGGAAGATTGCCCAGAGCTGTAAGTCTGACAGGTTGCCTGGTACACTACTATGCATTTTTAAAAGAACAGCTATGGAGAACTTAAGAGTTCACGTGGGGGGACAGGTGACGTTGCACATATGATGACCTGTGCTTTATTTTGCAGGCTGATAATGCAACAGGGTGTGTGCATCCACTACTGTGCTTCACACACAAGCTGCTGAGAGTGTGTAAATATAAACAGCGGCTAGTGTAACATTGTTTTAGCTGGTCTGTTAAGCTTTTGCGTGCATGTACCCTCTGTGCATACTCTTCTGTCCTGCTGCTAAATTTAAGAGTGCATTTAAAATTGCAAAGATTCTGTGATGGTTTGGGCTGCTGTATATGTGTGTGTGTGTACTCTGTGAAAGTTCAATCTTTTGTTGTAATGTTAATTTTATTCATGCAAATAGGAAGTTGCAGCAGCCTCCTCATTTGCAAGCAAAACCATTAGCAAAAAGCAACACATTTTCTTTTAGTAGGCCTATAACACGAGTGCCACAGAGGGAGGGAGGGAGGCTAGTCTATGTGTACGATCTTGTTAGACAAGTGGAGTGTCTTTGACTGCAAAAAAAATTGCCAAGGATACAACTTTTCTCCAAAAATAAAACAAACTATTAAGAAAACCTCTTCTGATAACAGATTCTAATCTAAACAAAATTTAATACTTTGTTATTAAAAACCAACTCATCTAAATTTTCTGCAAGTTGTGTGGCAGGTAGCACTCAGCATGGACCAAACCCCATTTTGCATGTGGACCTGGGCTGCATAATAAGGGAAAAAGCAATTTCCCATTGCTCCCCATGGACAATAGAACACACAGCCCCAAAGAACAGGTTTTTCTTTTCATGCATAGTCCTAGTGGTCTTGCTGTCGAACAATCCAGAAACTAGCCATATGCTCTGCTGGTGGAGTTCGCAGCCACCCCGTTAATAAAGGTGACAATTAAGCTGGACCGGTGGTTCTGGCTTTAGCACCACCCTCAAAGTGGGCATATATTTGTGGAGCAGCTTTTTTAGATCATGCTACTCCACAGCTGGGGTTGCTGGTAATATTAACCTTTAATTACCACTGCTCAGCCTCTAATTTGGATGAGCCAGTCCACATGCTATTTCTAAAGAAGAACTGAGGGGCAGGAACAAAAAAAGAGCAGCTATGGAAAACATAAATGGAGACCTTAGAATTTGCTCTGTGATAAAGCACAGTGGATAAGGCAGGAGTTGTTCCCACCCTCAGAAGCCCTGGGTTCCATTAGCAGGGCCCGTAGGGCCTAATAGTGAAAGTGTTGGACGAGGATCATGGAGAAGAGGTTCATGTCCCCCCTCAGCCAGAGACCCACTGGGGACCTGGGCTTCTCGCTCTCTCTAAGCCCATCCTATCTCACGGAGTGGAGAAAAATTGGAGGAAGGAGGCCTCTGTAGTGCTTTCCTGAGCTCCTGAGGAAAGGCAAAATAGAAATCTAATGAATAAACAAAAAAGAGCCAGCTGCTGCACATCCGAGTCATTTCTTAGTCAGGGGGCGAACTGTCCCTTGCAAATGCCATTCACTCACAAACCAGACATGCCTGATAGATAGCTCCGCGAGAGCTGCATGTTTTATGCATGGGGCACGGCAAGAAAAGCCGTACGTAGCAGTGCTGAGATTTGGCTAGATTGTCCTGTAATTAAAGTAGTAATAATTGTGATGCTCCCTATCAAAGCATTCGGGATGACTGAAAGAGCACAACATCCAAAGGAAGAGAGGATGGCAAATGGTCCCTTTTGTTTTGTTTTCACTTCACTTCTGATTCGTTCTTCCAGGTGTTTCTTGGGAGAAGTCCTCACTGCACAAGATCAGTCATTTTGTTGTTGCTGCTACACAACGGTCTCTCCCGTGTGACGGATTGCTCTCTATTACTTTGTCCCACAAGTGTTAATGTTCTTCCCATCAGCTGCATCTTCAACTAGTGAAATATGAAAATCTGTAGAAAGTGTGAAGTGGGAAATGCAACCTACCAGACCTCTCATGTACTGTCTGTTTGTATGCAGCGCTATTTCTTTCATTCCCCCTGCCAGAGAGAAAAAGGAAGTGAGTGACTTTTATAAAGTTCGGTATGACATTTCCTGGCCTTAAAAACACCCTTCAGAGCGACTCTCAAAGCAGATTCATTAAACTGCAGTAAGTTCCATTTAATACAGTAAGACCAAATGAAACAGAATTTATTATATTACAGAAGCAGTGAGTGCTTTCCAACCTAGATACCCTCCAAATTTGCCCCGCATTCTCCAGGCATTTAAAAGTGAGGGTGGAGAGCAGCGGGAACATGAACTGTCTCTGTCCACCTTTTCCTCCTTTCAATGTCTCCCAGATTGACAGGGAAGGTCTGAAAAAACTAAAGGGGAGATAATAAATCTTTTCCCTAACAGAAGGTAGTCAATATAGGCGTCCTTTGCAGTGAATGTTATGAAAAACAGCACAAAATGTTACAGTGAACATCTTGTCCTTGAGGGTGGGCAGTTGCAAGACAAGTGTTTTCCCTGCATTTTGTTTTATCAGGCATGATTCCAAACACACAGGGGGAAGGAAAAAGGCAATGTGGAAAAAAAACAACTCAGGGTGAAATCCATCGTTATGCGAGCAGATGTCTGTTCATCTTATCTCATCTTCTTCCTAGGGCTGGTAGAGAAGGACTAGCCCAAAGTCACCATTGGTTCTGTGCCTAAGGGAGGACTAGAACTCACTCTTTATTGCAGTGTTTCTCAACCTTGGCCACTTGAAGATGTGTGGACCAACTCCCAGAATTGGGCTGGCTGGGGAATTCTGGGAGTTGAAGCCCACATATCTTCAAGTGGCCAAGGTTGAAAAGCACTGCTCTGTTGGGGTCTATTCCAATGCCTTTAACTACCACACCAAATTGGCTCTCTTTCAGCTCCTACATTTATCCAAATCCTTTTCCAGAGGATCCCTCAATGCTCTAGGGAAAATATGGAAGACATAAAGGGGATTGCTGGGAGGAGTTCATTGGATACCATCCCATATTCACAGCCATACTGAACACTGAATGCAGTTTCCATCCTTGTCTCAATCATCAAGCCAACACAGCGTGGGAACAAACATGAGGGTTACTTGCAGCCATCACACCACTTCTGGACCAATTTTTAGATTTTGTTGTTGTTGTTGTTGTGAGGGTGGGGGTATAAAGAAAAAAATGGGTACCTAGGGCACCCCTGAAAATACTAAAAAAAATCAGGCTGATTTTTTTGACAACCCCCCCCCCCTTTAAATGGGGCCAAATTGGCCTTCTACTCTGGTGATATATTACAGGGCACTCATTCTGGTGCTTAAAAAAATACTGTGTTCCTGATGATAAGGAAGTTACATATCCCTGCAGTAAGATAATCCTGTCTTTGCCTTTCAGGGATTTCATTTTCAGGATGGATGTTAAGCCAAGAAGGAGGAGGTTTCAGTCTTCACATAGTACTTTTTCACTATAGCCCAAAGCTCTTTTTTAGTTATCAGTTTTCAGTGAGGGTTAGTCACACATGTATGAATCAACTTCTCCATAATTCTTAAATAAAAATAAAAAAGATAATTTAGTGGGACTTACCAACATATAAATCCCCATTGATGTTCAACTGTCTCATCATTCCTGGTGATTTGCCGGTTCTGGCACCATAATCGTCCACCGTTATCTTCCCAGATTGTCCATCCCTTAAATTGACAAAAATGTATGTGCCCACATTCAAACACTATCATAGTATAACCAATTTAATGTAGATAAGTGGTTGTACATGTTTCAGATACCTCCTGCTGATGTACCAACTGTAGGATGATATCAGGGCTTGAGAAGGAGAAGAGGGACCTTGCATTAAGGGAGAAGGTTGTAGTGCTTACAAAGCGGTACCTATGTTTTTTAAACCAAGTTGCAAAGTGGACCCACATGCTGACAGTCACAAACTGGAGAAATGGGATTCCCAATGTCCTTTGCAAAGATGCTTCATCATGACATAGCATCATAGTGTTTGTATGAAAAATTAAGGTCCCCTTAGAGAGGAAGTCTGAAGACCACCATGTAAAATATTTTGTAAGTATTAAAGCACCATGCCTGAAATACAGCTTGTATTTTTATTTTTTTTAAAATATTGAAAGTGTGTTTATGCATTGATGTTTAACAAAGAACAGAATTATTCAAGGATCAAGGATCACAACTTACCGAACTGCCTTGACTCTATGCCACCTGCCATCATTGAAAGAGCCATTCACTGTTATATAAGCAACGCCACTGCCCAGATTGTAGCTGAAAACAAAGGAAAAAAGTCACCAGATTCTAGAGAACATGCAGTCATGCCTAGGTTCAGCCCCTTTCATTAAACAACTGTCACCGGGCAACATTTGTTTTTCTTTATTCTGTCCTGATAACTGGGACTCTCTAGGCAGATTACAAGGATATTAAAAGCATTAAAAACAGTAAAATTACAACAATTATAAAAATAAAAACCATGAAATAAATGAATAAATAGCAAAGGAAAGAAAAATGACAAAATACGGATTATAACTCCAGGATAGGCATTCTCTTGAGATTAAGGCTGCACTGTTATACGAATCCAATGGCATTTCCTAACACATATGCACAGGATTGTGTAGAAGATGATTGGTAGGAAGAGATCTTGTAGCCTCCTTCCCTCTTACTTAACCGTAGTTCCCCTGGCAGCAATATTAACTTTACAACAGAACTCCCAGCATTTGAAACCAAGATGAAGGAGAGCTCTTAGGAACACAGCATAATACTATGATCCGGCCTTGATTTCCAAATATCTGTTTGATGTAGTTGTGCAGCTGGAGCAAAGGCAGAGGAACCCCCAAAGAGGTTCCTCTTAGATAGGAAACAACATGATTATTTGCAAAATAATAATGTTACTATTACTAATAATAGCTGCCATGGACTATAATTCTCTCTACAATGATTTAGTTGTCATACTAATTTATGATAATGCTTCGGTGCATGACTGAGACATGGAATGAATTAAATAAAATATAAAATTAACCAGGGATATCTCATCTTCATCTACTTCTCCATTAACAAACTTGTATGCTCTGCCCCTTCTTTTTTGTCCTTTCCATACTTTCTGCTATATGAGATTTTCACGAACAGGAAATAATTTTTTATATTTTAGTCTATTACCCAGAACTCTGTATGCATCTATGCACATATTATTTCCCTCCCTAAAGGATTATATTTTCCAGGAAGGGACTGGGAACAGATAACTAGAGCTTCCTCTCTCATCATATTGAGAAATGAGCCACCGTCCCCAAATAGTTTCACTGAATGCTGGATCCTGTCTGATTCTGTGAGACTGACCCTTCTTTAAACAAATAAACACTACAGACATTCAGGAGTCTTGCAATTCATTACAAGAAATGGGCAGCTTAGTTACACAAAAAACATTCATTTCCAACTCAGGAGGCAGGAATTATGTAAATATCACAGCTATACCTGTTCCAAGCTGATGGATAGCTTACCTGAAGACCAAGGAACCATCTTGAAGACCAAGGGAGATGAAGTCACTGTTGGATCGCATTGGGTTGTCACCTCTCCATAACAATAGACCATCCATCAGTGTAGTTTTAAACCTCATAAACACATTTGTTCTTGATCCTGACACTCTGTGTGATGTACAAAATAAGATTTCAGTGATGTGGGGGAAATAACATAACCTTGGTTGCAATAAACCATCACATCCCCCTCCCTACTCTTATAATATAACATCAATTTGATGTTTCTGCTAAAGATCTGGATAAGTTTCTCCCTAAAATGATTTTAGGGAATCGCTAGTTGATCTGAAAAGTGCCAAATAACTTCATTTTTAAAACACACAGCTGGTTTGAGGAAAAGCACTGGGTTTTGTTTATCTTTGTACATATGAGTAAACCCTCTATGATGTGGTTCATATCCATATCAAAAGTAGTTATTTCATAGGCACCATAAGAGCAGATCTGAAGGGCACCAGATTAAAGAAATCTGAGTTAGATTCTGGCCTTTTACTGAAGCTTTCTATGTCTCCCTTTCTACCATATTTTCCTATGTATCAGGGAAATTTAGCACCCTGGTCTTTTACACATCTTGGACTTCAACTCCCACCTGTTCTTGCCAGCGTGGCCTATGGCAGCTGGGTATAAAGTATGCAGAAGGCACTAAATAGCACTATATGAAATCTGTTGGCTGTTTTGAAATACAGTAATATGGATTTTAGTCTACATCTGGGAAGATAGTTCTTAGGCTTTTAATATCTGCCATGTGCCTGCATAAAACCATAACCACTCTCACATCCAAGAGCATTTCTGGGTGACAGAACTACAAGCAAGACTCAGGCTTTGACTGTACGAACTTACCTTTTAAGGATATCTGGACTGTCATATGTAAGGTAGCTGCGACCTATGAACTGTGGAATTTCAATGGCTTCCATCACAGCTAAAATATTAAGGGAAACTTAATATTAAAATTCAGGTTTTATATATTCAAAAGTTTGTATCAACAAACTGAGAAGGAGACACAATAAACACGTATTGTCAGAAGATTACTTAGTCAATAATTTCTGGTTAACTGTGATCCAAAGTTCCAGTCTTCACAGAGGCAAGATAAATCTTATTCCTACAGGTCAAGCCTATTATTACAGGGATCTTATGGTCCTTCTCTCCTTTCAATAACAGTAGATGATGACATATGATTTAGGAAGAACCCATGTTTCTTTGCTCTCCATCACACCATCAGACTGAAAATAAGACATTTTCTCACCTGTGTAAATAAGCACAGAATTGTCTCAATTTTGTCTGAATGGAGGATATAACAGGGAAGGAGAAAGGAGGATCTGCATGTGCTTCAGACCTATCCTTGATGTCACCCCAAATATAACATTATGCTCTGAAGTGGTCTATGGACTACTGTGTGTGTTTTGGACTAAGAAAAGAGGAAGCAAATAGCTCTTGGAGAGAGAAGTAGGAGTAATTTTTGATGCTATGTATGTTGCTCTGGTAATGCCAGATCTTCCCCTCCCCGATTTTATTTTCTTATAAACACATTATTCTATAATGAAAAGTTCTACAGAAAACAATGTATCACCCACTTACAGTGCTCAGTTCTCTAATCTGTCTACTTCAGATGAAGGCCTATGTAGAACTGCTTCATTTCTTCCAGGACAGGGCAAAGCAAAGCCTGTTTTTCCTTCCTCAACCCTCCCCCTCCCCAAATCTGTACATCTCAGTAGCAGAGAGAGCTCCCCCTTGCCCTTCAGATTGAAGCTCTTCAAAAGCCCTTCAAACTTTTCAGCACAGCTGCAGTTTTACCAAGGAGCAACATTTCTTACAGCACTTACTCAAACATTGCATAGAACATTTCAAGATAGCCTCCCTCGAAAAAGATCACATAAAAGAGTAGCTGCTCGGTGTTCAACCAGTCACCCCATCTCCTGGCCCTAAACAGCCAAACCCAAGACTAGTAGCCATGTGACTGGTAACAGCCTCTTCCTCTGAAATGGGATTGATTCTTCTATGGTTTCTTCTGTTGTCTTCCCTCTTCAGGCTATGAGGACTAGCTGTCATTTTAGCAAAATGCTGAGAATGAGTCACAATTTTTTAATCTTTCATTTTCAGCAGGACAGTTATGAAGCCTATACTGGATGTTGCATTGAAGTTGTTGTTCCTCCTCCTCCTCCTCCAAATCCTCCAGATCCTCAAAATTTGCTTGAAAGCTAGTTGTCTTATTTGGCAAACTCCTTTTGCTGTTCCTCAGACTTAAAACTGCCTCCCTCCCAAATGCAGAGCACACAGCAGTGTCTCCTTGGAGCCGGGCAGGCCCCAAAGTCAAACCATATGATTGCAGCAGTCATGTAGTGCAGCTCTCACTGAGCAGAGGAGTTGTATGATTGATTGCATTTCCATAGAAATAGTTACGATATTTACATGCAAGCTATTGGAGCAAATGGTTCTACATTTACTGAAATGGCCAGTCCAGCAAAAGTTGTACCTCATGATATTTGTGATCATGTGGGGGATGGAAAATTGACATTAAACTTTAAAAACATCCTGGATGAAAGCAATGACAAGCCACTTTAGTATTGCTCCCCCAAAACTGCAGGGATATCTCAATAAAATCACCAAGAGTAAAGTTCAACTTCCTGGCATCAGCGGGAATAAAATGGTTAAATGCTTGAAGGTAGGGAATATTACACTGCCTTGGAAGAAGGCTGCTTTAGAAGGCAGCACCAGTCATTACTGGATCATCCCAATCATGTGTAGTTTTCATCTCACTGCCAATTAATACCAAAAACATCTGCCAAGCACATTATCCCCAGCCATGTGCATGACCCATATGAATGCATGCAGCACGAAGACCAACCTTAGGTTTATCGGTTTTGCACAAGACTGCCTGGGTTTTACAAGCAAGGATTGAGAGAATCATCCTTCTTGTATGTAAATGCTACCATAGATTTCAGTCAAATAAATGACCATGATTTGATTGCAAAAGTAATGAAGCTCCTGAAAAAGACTAGCACTGAAAGGACAATGGAGGAAAGAGAAAAGAAACTGGAATGCCTACCAGAAGAGGGAAAGGGAGAGGGAGAGAAATAATAGCAAGGACACAAAGAACAGCCCAGATGATACCATAGTAAATAACAACAATAAATCTTAAATGCATCTCACTCCTTATTTTTCCTAATTGATCCACCAATCTTTATTTCAGGATTGGGGTGGTTGATCCTTAGCTGGCAGAACCAAGCCAGGATGGAAGGCACAGAACAAGAGCAAAAATGAAACAAGCCCTCTCCCCTTTTTAAAACTCACCTGAAAGAGAGGTAAATTTTCTGCTCCGGACCTGGATTTGCTAAACTCTGCTCACTATCAAGATTGATCGAATTAACTCTTTCATATCTGAACCCCTAGGAGCGTTCTCTTCCCTTCTTTACCCCTCAGAATCCGTATGATTCCAAAATTTGGATTCTGAATATTTTGGCAAGGATAAACATAAGATGAAAGTTGGAAGGATCTAAATGAAGCTTGAAAAGTGGAAACTACGTGGCTTCAAACTCTTATTGCAGTCAGTCAAGTTCTCAATGCAAACTTGATTCCATATTTCCATAAGATTCTATACTGTGATACACTTACCACCACTAATAGTTGGCAGACAAGACCGGGGTTTGGCCATTTTATCTTGTGCATTTGGCACTCTCCAAAGATTCTGGACTACAATTGTTCAAACCTTTGAACATACTGACTACAGCAGATGAGGACTTAAGTGCAAAACGTTGGGAGGGCACCAAATGGTATAATCTAGATCTAGTCATTTCCTGTTTTTTTCATTTTTAGTATTTTAAATCAGCTGGGCAAATCAACCTACAAATGGCACGATCTCTCACATTGCTTTATTAAGCCATTTGCCCACATATAGTTATGCTAATATGCAGGACATTTTTACTAGTCACAGATAATAAAACAAATAGCTGGGTGTGATCCAATTACAGGGCATTACACTGTAATCCAGGATATAATTATGAATTATACTATCTACAGATGCTGCAAAAAGCAGTTTGAATCATATGGCAAAGTTTACAAAAGAAGCACACAGACACACAATCATGTACACAATCATAGGCACGCCCAGGGGACAAGGAAGGGTGAGTGATGAAACATGGCTTGTGATGCAAACTTTGCATACTTGTATACAGTGCCATGACAATACAAAAGATACAAAGTGGCAAAGCGTTGTGACATCACAGTGAACATTTCATCATTTTGGTGTCATCATGGCCAGCAGCAGACATCTATGCACAGTTATTCAACGCATTTCACACAGATGTTACTTACTGTTCAAGCAGTAATTTCCACATTCTTCAGTGGATCAGCATAAAGCAGAAGAACATTCAGATTTTATTTTTGAACAGCAAAAAACCCTTCCACATTCTAATGCAGTTTTATGCATGCAACAGTTAAGCAAGGTTGGCTCACAGATTTACTGACTGGAACATTCCAACCCAGAATTTTGTTAGGAAAAAAAGCAGTCCAGTTCAGGTAAATACGAACCTTCTCCTGAATGTTACTGCAGGTTGTGGCTTTGCACTCATATACAGACATCATCTATAAGAAAGCCAAACCTTTGATTTGATGGCCGCTGTTGCATTGGTATGATCAGGTCTGAACTGTGGCCCTGCATTCCTATAACAGTTGCCATATCAGGAGACCAGCCAAAATCCCTGAATATTCTCTGTCTAAACCAGGCCAACCCTCTCTAGCTGAATAGGACTAACACTTTTCAAAATTATTTGTTGAATTAAAATCTTCAACTCTGATTAATTCATCTTAAATCTGCTTTTGGTTTCACACAGGTAATGGGTGTTGCACTTGCATTAGTCACTCAAAATACATCTGCTGGGGTTTTTTCTCTCCACAAAATAAGGATGGCCGAGCATCCCCTCAGAAGGCAAACTAGTGTGTTGCTTCCTACAACTCCTTCTACCTCTTTGGAATTTCATCCACCAGAATATTTATTCTTTTTTTCCCCCCTGGATTTGTGCACATGCCTCCAAACAGAGCACCATGCTACAACCACCCATTCATTTTATTTATCTATTGATTGATAGGGATGTAGAAATACCTGACTCCCAATGATTCTGGGCCTCTAGAAAAACCTATGGGTCCTATGTAGGCTCAGAGGTATGACTGTACATAAAGATGATCTTGGAGGTTGGGACTCTGCTCTGCGCCTTGCCCCCTTTCCTTTATTTTTTTTAAATTAGAAGTATATTTAAAAAGTAGAGAAACGTTAAAGTTTGAGAAATTGTCAAGCATCTAGAGCATTAACTGCAAGAACATTGGTGCCCATGAACACTTGCTTACCCTTGCATTACAGGAATATGTTTTCTACCTAACATTTCCAGGGACATTTGTCTAGAAATTACACCCCCAGTAGGCATATACTATACAGTTAAGGGCATTCACTCTGACAGTCCCATTCAAAAGTCTGGGACAAGAAAGAGAACAGCCACTTAAAAGTCTTCCGCAGAGATAACAAATATTACAGTATGAAGAAATATACTGCCACCTACTGGAGCATAGTTGCATTGCATTTTAGTTGTTGAAAAATTGAACTGACTCAACAGAGCCTCTGATTTAAAAAGAATCTATCAGCTCCTCCGAGTCCAAAGGGACAGCCCCCTTTTCCCTTTACTTTTGTAAAGAATTCTTTGGTGGTCTCTGAGGTGTGACTAAGAAAGGATTTGTTCTAGCTGTCAAATTACAAGAGACCCAAAGGGTAGTGAAGGATTAGAAGCTGCATTTGCAGCAGAGGCAGTTAACACAAAGGAGGATAAAGTTACAAGGCTATAAATCCCCCTGTTTAAGGGCTTGAGCTGCATCCCACTGAATAAGATAGGATGAAGCGTTTCCCTCCCTTTATTGGCAGCACAGAACTTTTAAATTCTAGCTCAGGAAGTTTCCAAGTATCTTGAACTCTGAAATTCTGAAAAGGTATAATGGTTTAGATACTATAACAATATAACCATGGGAATTTGTAATTAAATAAATCTGGCTTATCTGAAAGTAAAGAAAGATCAGCAGAAGTTAAACAAATAGGGGTTGATATACAGTCAGGTCCAGAAATATTGGGACATCGACACAATTCTAACATCTTTGGCTCTGTACACCACCACAATGG